TCTTTGGGATCCCGAATTTACCTGCACGTGAGCCAGCCAGAGGAAAGAGGCTGAACACCGCCTGTGTTTCTGTGTTTCTACTCTGTGTCAATGGGAGGAGTTATCAGATCCTCCCATTCGGACATCATTGATTGGCCGCCCCAAATATCACAGACCCCTTAGACCTTAGGCTTCCCCAATCACTGTAGCATGTCTAAACTGAAGGCAACTCAAGACATGCTTTCACCTTCCCCCATCTTCCTTTGTCCTCAAAAACATATGTCCAAACAGGCCCCACATCCAGCTCACAGTTCCACCCAAATTATTCCCTTTTTAAGCTTATCCATAGTTTGCTAACATGAATAAATACAAATATAACTTTACAAATCCCCCTTTTGGTCTCATTTTAAGAGATCAACTATTTCAAGACACTCACATTATAACCTGGGATTCAGACTATTTAAACATTCAGGAATGGCTCCACATATCAACTTCATATGACCGTGTAGAAATACCAAAATATATCCTCAGTGTTTAGACAAATCGTCCATCAATAGCACAAAAATAAACATACCAAAAAATATATAGAAGAAAATAGTAAAATATATCATTTATCATTTAGTCCTCCTTAATCATCAAATTACAAACTTTAAAAATAGCTTGCATCTCAAAGATTTGCTTCAAGACAATTATAGTAAAAACACATTTAACATTTAGGATTATTAGCAATCCACCTGAGGTATAAAATCTGGATTGTAAAGGTCCAGTTGAAATTCACAGTTCAAAGTATAGCATTCACAGTGGTGATTCGATTAATCCGTAATCTGCAAAATTGCAGTGTCCTCAAGCTTTAACATTACTTCACTACGCTTTAGTCAAAAGTAAGGCACTTATCTATACATTCATTTTAGTCAAATACATTGTTTAAAAATCTGAAAAAGAAGAATCAGACATTTATTGCGTAGTGTAAAAACCCGAAAAGGTAAAATCTATATACATCTTCTACATTCTGAGTGTCAATTTTAATCAACCTGTCATTCATTTTGTGGGGGTTCCCATGGAGCAGAAGCCGTGATTGTGCCCCACGGATCTGAAAGCTGGGCGTCGTACATCAACACGGAGTCATCCACTGTGGAATATCCCACTAGTCTCTGTGGAGCCTGGAGGGCGGTTTTGGTCATCTTTCGTATGGCTAGTTTAACTACAGTGACCAAGCAGATTATCACAATTAGCACAACTAAGATAAACATTGAAACGGTCACTGCAAATTTAACCAACCCCGCACCCCACGATCCAAAAGTTCCAGTTAAATCCCCAAGGGTAAACCCATGAGTTTCATGCAACTCTTTTATCCCCCTGGCGGTATCATGAGCCATATCCATGACCTCAGGTGTAGCATCAGAGATGAAAGAACAACACTCAGATCCAATCACCTTGCATGTGCCCCCCTGGGCGGCTAATAAAAGATCCAGTGCCATACGGTTTTGTAATGCTACAGTCCTAACCTCCTGTAATTCCTTATGTTCGGCTAACATGGCTGTGTTAGATGCATTTAAGTGATTTTCCACTACTTTGGACAACGCCACAATTTCCTGCTGAGAAACATAAATACCGTACCATGGTAAAAATAGACTAGCCATCCGCTGTCCTTCTGTAATCGACCTGCTGTTTCTATGTAGAGAGGGAAGTATAGCTGCAATCTCATCAGTCTTCACTTTACGGATTAAAGGGATTAGATAGGCCAGGTAACAGGTGCCATAGAAAATGTCATAAGGCATACAGCCATAGGCTCGGTCCCCACAAACTAAGTAAACCCTCTGCGGGAGGGGCGTTCTGGCTAACTGCACCTTTATTACGGTATTACAGTCGCTGTGGCCCACATCTGGAGAGGTAAGAGATCCTCTTTCATTCTGGAAACAGATGGACACATTCTTCCACTCATGTACTACAACTGGGGGAACATAGACAGAACAGTCACGGGTAGGGGACTTACCTAAGGGTAATGGCTGCGAACAGTCATGTATTTTAACCTCAACTGAGTCCACTGTTCTGGAGCCGAACCAGGGCACTACTGTTACCAAAGCCTCAACTAATAAAGATGGAGTGTGTGGTTGCAGTGTACATATTGGACTGGTAAAGTTAACCGAGCAATTAGTCTGGGCTAGAGCTAATTGGAATCTGTATTCAAAAGCTAGGTTAATATATTTCTTCACATATATTAGTCTTAGGACCGTCAACTGTTTGAACCCCTCTGGCAGGTAATCCTTATTTACTGTCTCCACAATGAGCGAGATTAAACCCTTGTATTGTAGAGGTTTCTCAGAGTTTATTGGATACGAAGGAGTGTAACAATCCTCGGCCTCATCTCCAATGCGGGATGCTATGTCATTCCAGCTAACTAAACCGTAGTCCGCTTTCGTGAAAGGAATTGGGCTAAACATGGGAGAATGTACGGATTCTGGCATGTTTTGGCACAGCCAACAGTTGCTAACATTGCGTTCATGTGCATAGTCTAACATTAAACTCATTGCCGAATTGGTTTTAGTTAGTTTAGGTGGAGCGATTAAGGCCTTTTTTGAAGAATCTACATCCTCTCCTGTTTGTTTAAGTGGAGTGGATATTAGGGCTTTTTCCGGAGGACCTGTTTCATGATATGGTTCAATATATGTTCTAATAGAGGCGTGTCCGGCGACCCCTAAATTAGAAAAATCTGTTTCATGCTCTGGTTCAATAAATGCACATCCAGTGTCCCCCGAATTGGGAGCTTTGTAATCTGGCTTCCGTGCCGTGCACTGGGACTCATATTTTAACTGTTCTGCCGTGCTACACCACAGTTCTGGGGGCATATTTGCAATGGTGTTGAGTGTTATTCTTACCATCCCCGACGAGACCCGGAACTCCTGATACTGCGTCCCTGGATACGCTTCCCACACCGTGTAGTCGCCACCCTTGCTTAAAAACACAGGGTAGGTAATAACACAGTTTGGTGAGTTACACATTGCAGTTGGGCAGTCAAAAGAAATCTTCTGTGGTTCGTGAGCAGAGAGAGGGGCATTCCTCCTTCTTCTCTCTCTGTGTCTCTCTCTCATTGTACTGAATGTTAGTGTGGTGATTGGAAACAACCTGTCTTTGTCGCTAGGCACTGATTGGCCCGTTGGTGTGATTTTGCCCTCAGAGTCTGGGCCACCTGTCGTTGGAATGGTCACAGCTTCATCAAGCGGGGCTACCTTGGACAGGTACAGCAGGCCCAGCACGAGGAGGATGATGACAGCTTTCACACGCCAGCCTCCGGTGGAGGAGACAGACGCCATCTGGAAGCGTTGATCCACCCCGCTCTGCCTCGTTCCCTCAGGACCGTTCCTCGCCGTCCTCTTCAGCCCGCCCGCTTATGGCGACTTCTGGGTCGGAGATAGGAGTGTTGTCCTCTGGTTCCTCCTCCTCTGCGCGGACTACGTCCGTGATGATGTCGTCTAGGGTCCTTCCCGGAGGTTTCCCCACTGCGCACTGATTCCAGTGGTACCAGATGTCTCCTTTCCCTTCCAAGCGGACAGCGTGAGATGTCCTCTGCATCACCCGATGGGGTCCAGAGAACCTGGGTCTCAGCCACTTGGGTCTGATCGCTTTCAGCCAGACGAACTCCGCAGTGTTCGCTTCGTGTTTCTCGGGTCCCCCTTTTGCCTCTGCAACCTGGGTGGAAAAATCTGCCACTAATCCCTTAAGTTGCTGGAAGTATGGTTTCGAACTCAGAACCTCTACTTCCTTTCCTACACTTAGGGCTCCTGGACCTGGGAACTGGTGACCATACGTGAGCTCAAATGGAGAGAAACCTGTCCCTTTGTTAATGGAGCTCCTGATTGACAGAAGAGCCAGAGGCAATGCATCTACCCATTTCATGCCCGTCTCTTCACATGCTTTGCTGAGTTTTTGTTTTAAGTTCTGGTTCATCCTTTCCACTTTTCCCTGAGACTGTGGATGATAAACTGCTCCAAAACTGTGTCTTAGTCCTAGGGACTCTTCTACTGTGCGTAGGTCATGGTTCTTGAAATGGCTGCCATTGTCTGACCTCACTTTCCTAGGAAATCCATGTAATGGAATGTAATGCGTGACTAGGAATTTGATCACTGAGTCTGCATCTTCTCTTCTGCAAGGGATAGCTTCTGGCCAACCTGTGTATCCATCTACTACTACTAACAAATATCTGAATCCTCTTACTTTGTCAATCATGTCAGTGTAGTCAATGATGATTTCTTCTCCTGCCATCTTAGGTAAAGGAAACTTTCCCTGGTGTGGTTTCACAGTGGCTCTGATGTTATGGGTTAAGCAAATTACACACTCTTCTAGGTGATTTGCTATCATGTCTGGTAGGTATGGGTGCCACCAGTGGGTCAGGTGCCTGTTCATCTGAGTTTTACCACAATGCGTTGGGCCGTGTGCTTCTTTAAGCATGGATCTTATCCACTCTGGGGGTATAACCGGTCTCCCATCTGGGGAGTACCATATCCCCTCTTTGTTGGTAGCTCCCCGGTTTGACCATAGTTTTTTGTCTTGAGGAGACCCCGCTTCTTGAGCTTCTTTAAGCGTCTCATCTGTTATTGCGGGCAGCAAGTCAGCGGATTTTAAGACAAGCATTTGATACCATGGTGTATATCCTGCCTTCTCTTTAGCTGCTTTGTCCGCTGCATTGTTACCCCAAGCCAAGTAGTTGTTTTCTGCGTTGTGACCTTTACACTTAAGTAAAGCTAACTTGTTGGGCAACATTACTGCTTCTGCAAGCCTTCTGATCTCTTTCTCATGTTTGATGGGGGTATTTGTGGACGTTACAAATCCTGCTCTCAACCATTGTCGCATTTCCACGTGAATTACGCCGTGGACATATGCTGAATCAGTGTAGATGTTTACATCCTTTCCTTTTGATAGCTCTAATGCTGCGATGACTCCCATTACTTCTGCCAACTGTGCTGATACTTTCCCTGTTACTTCCCCAGCTGATACTTCCTCAAAGTTTCCCTCAGGTTTTTTGTTTTACCACGGCATAGGCTGCTTGGAGGCCGTTTTGGGGATGTCTAAAACAACAGCCGTCTGTGAACAGGTTTTCTGCCTGTGGGATGGGCTCGTCTCTGAGATCTATTCTTAGCTTCACATCTTGAATGATTCTTTCCTCACACCTATGGGGCTCTCCGCTACCTATGGTGTCTGCGCTGTTAACTCCTTCGTGTGTGTATGTGATGTGTGCCTTTGTCAGAGTTTTCTCCAGCCTTGTTTGTCTCGTTGAAGTCATTGTGAATGCACTTGAGTTCACAAAAGAGACAATGCTGTGTGTTGTCAGTACTGTCAAAGGATGGCCCATCACAATGTGTGAAATCTTGTTTAAGATACGTGCTGTACCTGCCGCGTGTCTCATGCAGGGAGGTTCTCTGTTTTCCACTCTGTCCAGTGTAACACTGACATACATCAATATTGTCCTACAACCCCCCTTTTTCTGAAAAAGAATCCCATTTACTGTGTCTTCATTTTCAGAAACATCAAGAAAGAATGGTAATGCATAGGATGCAGCGGCGAGAGCCGTGACTTGAGACATGGATTGTTTGAGAGAAATGAACGCAGCTTCTGCCGCTTGTGTCCAGTCTAGTGTGGCAGTGAGATTGCGCATGCCTTTCTCGTTGATGAGTTTTCTGAGTTCAGCTGTTCTTGGGTTATACTCTGGGATGTAGTGTCTGCTGTAGCCTGTGAGGCCCAAAAAAGACAACATGTCTTTGACTGTCTTGGGTTTCGGGTGGTTCAAAATGTGTTCCTGATGCGCTGCTGACATGCCCGTGCCTGCTGGGGAAATCACTCTGCCCAAAAATGTCACCTCTTTACGGGTGCATTGTAGCTTTTTCTTGGAGACTTTGAACCCTGATGTGTGGAGGCGCACCAGTAGGTGTCTGGTGGCCTCCAAACAAGAGGCTGCAGAAGGTGCTGCGATGAGAAGGTCGTCTACATACTGTATTAATACTACTCCCACTGGCAATGTAACGCCCTCTAGCTGTTCCCTGAGCACTTTGTTGAATATTCCTGGAGACAAACTGAAGCCTTGTGGTAGTCTTGTGTATTGTAGTTTCTCCCCTCCTATTGTAAAAGAAAAAATAGGTCTCATACTCTCTGCCAGAGGTATGCAGAAGAAAGCGTTGGCTAGGTCAATACAGGTGAACCATGTATGTTCAGGTGAGACATTACAGATAGCCGTGTAGGGGTTAGGAACTGGTATCAGAGCTGTAGTCGTAATAGCATTAATGGTTCTCAAATCATGAGCCATTCTGTACTCCCCGCTAGATTTTGATACAGGAAGTATGGGAGTATTCCAAAGGCTTTGTGAGGGTTCTAACACCCCTGCTTTCTTCAGTCCCTCAACTGCCTTGTCAACACCCCCTTTTGCCTGTGGCTTGATCGGGTATTGTGACCGGCTCACAGGCACAGAGCTGCTGACCTCAAATGTTACTGGTGTGGCTTTTAAGCAGAAACCTACATCATGAGAGTGCGACGCCCACAGGTTAGACGGGAGATCACGCAACATGTCAACTGTATATGCATGGTCAGTTTTTTCCCTACCATGATGTCTATCTACTTCGTGTCTTTCCATGTGGATGCATTCTTGTGTGTAGATTTTAAGACGATACGCTCTGTGTGAGGGAGAGTATGTCAGTGCTGCGATCTGCGTAGGTTCCCAATCTTCGACTTCTAGCAGCGTCTTTACCATGGGACCAAGTTCTTTAGCTTCATAACTCTTTTTGATAGCTAATGTAATGTGCGGTGTGGACTCAGCAGACAAACGGTACCAGTACAGTTGTTCCTCAGAGAGCTCAACCGACGCAGCCACACCCGCCTGTCCCACAAAGAGATTTGTCGTGGTAACGTCCCACACGGCCATAGACACCTCATTATCATACTCATATTCATAACCTAGGTCGTCTTTTCTATCATAATTCAGCGTCAGGTGGGGGGGTCTGGAGGGGGGCCATAAGGCCTGAGGAGGTTAATCCATGGCTTCCATTGTTGAAAAATGGAATACAGTCCAGGTGTGTTGTCCCGAGGTCGGTCCAACAGTCCCCAGAATATAGTGGCATGTTGGGTTGCTTCTGCCTCAGTGGACTGGGCCAACATCATCTGAGAACCTGATGTTATGGTAGCAGACGAACAATTGATGGTTGTGCCATTTGGGAATGATATTATCAGTCCATCCGGGGAACAGAGGATGGAGGCATTCGCTTTGATCAGAATATCCCTACCCATGAGGTTAGCCGGGCTTTTTGGTGCAAGAATATACTGGTGTAAGAATGTCTGTCCTGCTATCTTGGTGGATAACAGCGTGGAAAGCGGTATTATTTATATTTTTCCCGAAAACCCTATGACTGAGACTGTTGTAGATGTTTTGGACGCCTTGAAGACGGGAGAATTGATGGTGGAATATCTTGCTCCTGAATCAACAAGGAATGGTAGGTTTGAGTCTTTAACAGTCATATTAATGTATGGATCCGCCAGGCCCGTACATCCAGGGTTCCCTGGGCGTCTTCATTCTTCGTAGTATTCCCCCTCATATAGGACAAACTGGCCATAGGGGGCGGCCATAGCATTAGGGGCAATGTGACCCTGGTTCGGTTGTTGCGGCAATGGGACAGCCTCCTGGGGTGTCTGGATATATGGTTTCTCCGATCCGTTCCCCCCTTTAGCCCGCCCCCTTCCAGGTGGGGCTCCATGTGGGCACTGCTTGAACCAGTGATCTGGCTGTCCGCAAATGAAACACACCTTCACGTATTCCAATCTAGGAGTCATCCCAAAGCCACCTCGACCTCTGACCCCTCCTCTGAACCCGCCCCTCTGTTGCCAAGAGTTATTATTGTAGCCAAATTGGGGCTGACTATAGGGCGGGACCCTGGTTGGAAAGGCCCCCTTTTGGGTTTTGCTGCCCCTGTGGCTGCGCGGCCGGCGCTACTGGGTGAACAATCAACTGTTTGGCATTCTTTTTGTCATTCTGAACTGTTTTCCGGGCTATTTCCAGCTGCGTTCGCAGTAACTGCACCCTCAACTCCTCTTCCTCAGTCTTAACCTCTGTATGTTGTTTGTTGAATTTACTTAAATGATGGGCTAAATGACGTTCCCACGTCTGTGTGTTTAACTGATCTACCTCTGGATTGTCCTCCATCAGACTTTTAATTTCTTTCGGCACTGCCGCAAGCACTGCTTTACGGAACATCTGTATATGTTGGTCATTATTATCTGGACTGTAGTCAGTTGCCATTGTGTACTGTTGGCGTGCCCTGAGCAACATGGTTGCTGCAGCCTCTCCAGGTGTAAATGTAAATGACAGTGATCCGTAACCTCCCCCTGTCTGTGGGAAATGCTCTCTCATTGCTTTGCCCAGCTTGCTGTGAACATCGTCAAAGGAAATAGGCACGTCATCTTTCATTGTCGATGTTCCTGATCTATCCTCAACTCTTTCTACCTCATAATAGGAAGTCTGTTGTGCTAGTATTCTCCTGAAATCTCCCAGACAGATAGTCTGTCCTACAGCCATGTCCGCAAACCTTCGCATCCAATGTCTCCCTCCCTCAGTAGGCAACGGCATTTTATCGATCAGCGCATGTATGTCCCCTAGTGTGAAAGGATGATAAGCCGTCTTCCCGTTTTGCGCGGCCACTAAAGGCGCCTGTAATACTGGATACATAAAAGCATGCTTGGTGGGGTCTTCTGCGGTGTGGTGAGACCTTAATCTGTTACGGGGCATTGAAAGAACCTGATCTACTTCCACTAGTTCACTTATTGTTCCTGTCAGAGATATCTGCTTAACTTTGCACCTCGCCCTCCTGCTGTCTTCCTCTTCCTGAGAGCTGTCTTTACGACCCTGGCCACCTGCTCCATTGTAAAACCCCCCAGTTTCATGGCTTGCTGTTTCCCTATCCCTTTTATGGCCCGCTATCTTTCTATCACTTCTGTGGTTCGCCGTCTCTTCCCCACTTTCATGGCCCGATGCCCCCCCCTCAACACCTGGGTAATTAGACGTATACGTTTGGCGTGATCTGTTCTGAAAAGGATCACATCTCTCCCCCTTCTCTATATCTTCTAGCGAGCCCTCATATCCGCTCTGTTCCTGTCTCCTGTCTTCCTCCATGCGTCTATCTTGAATCTGTTGTTCATAGCACCGCCTTTCTCGTATTTCCCTCTCATCTAGGAGGTCAGTTGTGTATGTTGTGTCTGCCTGTGTAGCGCCTGAGTGGTTATCTGTAAGATTTGTCAGAAGGGAAGTCAATTTTTCTGAGGTGAGCTCCTTATCAAGTGGTCGACTGTCCCTGCTCGGGGAAACCCCCTCCTGGTCTGTGTTAGAACTAGGCCTCCGCGTGGTGTGTGCGCTGTCCATTCTGTCTAACGGGGAGGAAACCTGTTTTTGTTTAACATTTAGTCTTTTCTTTGGAGTAGGGACGCCCCTTAACGGACTCAACGCTACTGTTCCCACCATCCTATAGTTCCCTACGCTTATGGCCGCCTCCTCTCCTTCTGTGTCCGATGTATCTGCCACCATCATTTGCAATTTATTTGCGCTGTCGTCGGGTAGAGTATAAGGGGGAGGGGGCTGTGTAGTCAGACTACCTAAATCCGGGTAAAGGAGAGAGGAGCGGGTGGGAATAGCCGGATTTTGTATGGGCGTAGTTAGAGATTTCTGCTCTGAGTTAGAGACAACATTATTTTGCATTCTTCTAAAATATTCGACTCGTTCTGCTACATAGTCCAGAATGTCTCCATGTGTAGGCACCTCTGTGTCTTTAATACCATGAGGGAACAGAAGAGTCTTAACTTCATCTGTTTTTATGGGGCTTTGGATTGCCATTGCACCCGGGAGATTTTGGTCTGTGACGGGAGGAATATTAATTCCAATCATTACGAGGGCAGCATTGTGACAAACCCTCCTCAATCTATCTAGTGCCTGTTGTTGCTTGTTCCATTTGCTACGGGCAAACCATCTGGGCTTCTGTTCGTTTAGGTGTGCAAGTTGCTTTACAATCTGTCTTTCATATAAATTCAATGCTGTGCCCAAATTACCTACGGTGTCGTCATCCCCCACTTTATTCTCTGTTATCATTGTATCGTGTAGGAATCTGAGATCCGTACAAGCCTTTTCTTTAGCCCCCTGTTTGATTCCACTTAAAATCAATCTCTTAATCTGTTCCCATTGCTCCCGGTAACTCCCTGGAATTTCAGAATAGTCCTTACCATTCTGTCGTTCCATATTCACTTCGCTTTTATTTATCCGACTTAATTAATATGTGTTCACTTGTATTCATATACTGGGCTATTGTCGTTGTTATTATTAACGTGCTTCCCGTCTTCAATACCGGCCAGCAATGTAATGATGAAACTCTAAGTTTGAAGCTAAAATATATACAAATGTCAAGGGTGTGTTACCCCCTTTCAGCCACTAGATGGCAGCAGCAGACCACAAATGAGCTTCACTCTTCTGAGTGCCTCTTTTATCCCCGGAGACAATTGAAAAATCACACAGATTTATTCCCCGTACAGTTTGTCCAGCTTTTATAATGTGATGTTTATTTCAACAGGCTAGTGGACCCGAATGATGCTTCGACACTCTGAAAGAATGTGACCATTCCATGGGGAACTCCCAGGTCGTGAAAAGCCCTTTATCACACGTTTAGCTTTTCAAATTAAGTTTACAGACCAAGGGAAAACGAGAGACGGTCCCGTCACAATATTTTGTGAGGTTCGCGTTCTCTCCCTCGATTGGTATATAACAGAACTCTGGCTTTTAGCTTTCAGCCTTAGTCTGTTATTTACCCCAGTTTTAGACGGAGACCCGATCTTATATATCGAGTTTTCAGGTTTTGTCGTGCAGGAGTCAAACCTCGCACCCACAAACTGCCCCGTCTCTACGCCACTCAGGAATTTTCTACCTGCAGATCCGCGCCAAACTGCTCTATTTTCGTTACGCAGGACTTTTGGTCTACCTGGCGATCAACGTTTGTGTTTTGTATATAACTTTCCTAACATAGTAAAATATGCATTGTATATTCCATTTAAACTTTAAAAAACACTGTGAAACACCTACAGACAATCCTAAAATTTTAGTGTATCCAATTCCAGACAGTCGAATTTCATAACAGGCGTCTGTACCTTTGTGTAGAGTTGTGCAGGGCCCTGCTGATTGTCTGAGAAGTTTGAAAGCGTTTGTTCTCGACCCATTCCGGTCGTCTGGATTCTTCCTCAGCTTCGCTATATCTAGACGTCGGGGTCACCACTTGTTAGAGATTAAAAGGGATATCTGATCCGCTTTTCAAATCTCCGCGCGTTCCTATGAAGCTGGTTATAATACAGGAAGAAATCCAGTGCCACCAAGTAAACAATATCTACTTTAATGGTAATATGACAAAATAATACAATCAATACAGTACAAATTCAATACAGTTAATCTTTGGGATCCCGAATTTACCTGCACGTGAGCCAGCCAGAGGAAAGAGGCTGAACACCGCCTGTGTTTCTGTGTTTCTACTCTGTGTCAATGGGAGGAGTTATCAGATCCTCCCATTCGGACATCATTGATTGGCCGCCCCAAATATCACAGACCCCTTAGACCTTAGGCTTCCCCAATCACTGTAGCATGTCTAAACTGAAGGCAACTCAAGACATGCTTTCACCTTCCCCCATCTTCCTTTGTCCTCAAAAACATATGTCCAAACAGGCCCCACATCCAGCTCACAGTTCCACCCAAATTATTCCCTTTTTAAGCTTATCCATAGTTTGCTAACATGAATAAATACAAATATAACTTTACAACGGCCAGATACGGCTCGAGAAGCTGACTCAGATAAGAAAATATTGTGATATCGATGTGAGATCGATTATCTGAGTGATTATGTGATGTCAGTGTGATATGAATGATAAGTGCGACACGTCGGCGTCTTCTCTGCATACGGAAGTTTAAACTGCATTTCCTTTTTCCTGTAATATGACTTGATAGATTTAAACTCCGCACACTGAGCTCTGATCGGTCAGCAGGCGGTGCTTTCACTGAGTTGATCTCTTTTCTATAGACGCCGGAGGCGGGCAGCGTAAAATGAAAAAAAAAGTTATTTAGCCTTCCCAAACCTGAGCCTCACGCGCCGCCTATGTGTAGGCCTACTGTATACATACAAAGGCCATTCAAGCTAGAGTTCTTCTGGAAATGTTCACATCAGGCACCTTCAAGTTAAACAATACTAAACAATTAACACAGTAGGCCTAAATTATGTGGATTAAACCACATTTATTTCGTTAAAAATAAACGAAATATGATTTAGTTTGAATGATTAAATGTCATCAGGCACCTTCAAGTTAAACAATCAGGTGCACACTTTAATGTGCCGCCACCTCCGGACTCGGCTTGACTCGGTTTAAAGAATGCACAAATGTGTTTAATCGTTTATGTCAGATATGTACTAAGTAGCCTAAATACATTTGTACCTGCTCAAGATTAGATTCAACTTTATTGTTATTGCACATATTGCAGGTACTGAGACAACGAAATGCAGTTTAGCTTCTAACCAGGGGTGCAACAAGCAGCGAAAAGTAATGTGCACAATACTACAGTAAACAATTAACACAGTAAATTATGTGGATTAAACCACATTTATTTCGTTAAAAAGAAACAAAATATTATTTTGTATGAATGATTAAATGTAGGGTGAATTGCTCTAATGTGGGACATTTTTACATTTCAGACTTCGGGAATATATTGTGATATGAAGCCGATACAATAAATCTAAATCCAGTAGGCTACCATTCCGAAATCCCCAGTAATATTAGACACTAATAATACAGTAAACTATTAACACTGTACATATTATTGTTTGCCCGTGGGATTAGGATGATCGGTAGTGAGACCCGTGCTGCATTTTCCTCCGGTCGGATGTGATATAAAAACAAAGCGATTATTTTTGTTGTTGTAAACTCACGTGGATTAAATTTAGTGCATTCATTTCAACTCGCGAACATATGATAAATTAAATGATCGTGAGGATGATGATTGAAAATCGTTTGTTTGAGCCTGGATGCATTTCCTGATCTAAAAACATAGTGATGGTTTTGTACTTACGCCAACGTGAATTAAACATTATTTTGTTAAATAAAAACATGGGGATGTTTATTAAATTATTACATGTCTCTTATTTAGCACAGAATATGATCCTATTCGTGACATATGGATCTTAACAAATATCCGCTATATCAGATGAATTGGAAATGGGGGACCCTGATGTAAACAAGACGAAAGTCTTTCTCTGGTCTGCATCCCCTTAACAATTGTATGTTTTGAGCTGTACTGAACTGTACCCAATATACAAGCTGTTAATAAACTTTTCAATCAATCAATCAATCAATCAATCAATCAATCAATCAATCAATCAGATACCTGTAGATCAGCTGTTTATTTCACATGAGTTCCAGTGTGGCAGCTTTTTAATCACGGCTCCCCCTGGTGGATCCATTATCCATTGCAGCTGGTTTCATTATAATTAAATGTATTTATCAAGGGGGCGTTTCAAGTCCTGCGGGGGGTTTTCCTTTTCAGCGGATCACCGACCCGCACGGATAGGCGTCTGAAATGGAGCGCTCCATCTGTAACTCAATAGGCGTCTCCAGATTCGAGTGTGGTCTCACCTTACATTAATTACATCACAAAGTAGAATAAGATTGAAACATTCAATCACAATGATTGATACAGCCAATCATAATAGGAAAAATCATCTCTCATCAGTGTTTGATCATCTTTTGTCAAAAGCATAATAATGAACACACATAAAACACAGGTGCACAATGGCTAAATATTTGTTTTAAACTAATATCTTTTATCATTTACCATTAGTTAATTTCATTCATCAAACTATAAAATCAAAACCAGCTTGCCGTTTTAAAGATTTACTTCAAGGCAATCACTAGTCAAAAGCATTTTAAAACTCAGGATCGTAAGAGATCCAGCTAAAAATTCACAGTTAGAGTATAGAATTCACACTGGTGATTTGATCAATCTGTAATCTGCAAAATTGCAGTGTCCTCAATTTTAGGATTATTTTAAGAGTCAGGCACTTAGTTTTAGTAATATCAATACATTCAAAATCTGAAAAGGAAAAGTCAGACATTTATTGTGTAGTGTAACAACCTGAAAAGGAAAAATCAACTTTAATCTGAGCATCAGTTTTAATTCATTGGCCATTCGTTGTAAGGGGGAACCCATGGTTCGGGTGCCACGGTAGAGACCCACGGGTCTGGAAGCTCGACGTCCAGGGTTGGGAGGGTTACTTTGTAAATGTAATCAGTTACTGATTACTGATTACATGGCTCTGAAAGTAATCCGAATACAGTTACAGTTACGTGTCTTAAAAAAGTAACGTAATCAGATTACTTTTAGATTACTTTTGGATTACTTTCTTTTTCCATCACAGATGGGTATGTTTTGGTGAACAGGAGACACAAAAAGCAAAAGGAATGTGTTTTTACTGTTTTAATGGCTTATCAAGAGCACAACTGAAACACAACATCTGAAACGATGTAACAACATAATTAACTTTTTGGGGATGCAGCTTGGGATGTGAGGAGTGAGGGACACGGAGAACGAGCGTGTCGCCTTCTGTCCTGCCAGTGTTGGCAGGACACAGACCCGTCGCCAGAACAAATCTAAAGGGAGGGCCTATGATTTTCATGGGAGGGCCCACAAAACCGTCACGTGCTGCGGGCCTGCGGCACAATATATATCAAACAGCAAGGCCAACGGCATTGCGCAAAGACGCACACTTATCGCAAACATACACAAATAAAGGGCAACGTAGAAACCACTTTGAAACATTGTGTGCGTGGCAGCACAGACACTGGTAAATCACGAGCAAGGCACACTGGTTAAGGATGGCAGCTTCCTCATCGCTGCACTCGGAGAGAAATAGTAGAGACGGAGTCGATGAGCTGTTTAGCCCGCCTTGGGCATGGTTTATGTTCCGATGCACTGCCTGACTCGGACATGCTGTGGAGTGAATCGAGTCACCTCTGAGAGGGAGTTGGTTGACAGCTAAAAAAGCTATAATATCAACGACAGCTGACACGTAATAACGGCTCCGTGCAGCTGATCTGCACCAAAGTTCTAATTTCCTTATTTGTTTCCTCGCGTATGACAGTAAAAGCCGCATCAGATGAAGACACAAGGCTGCGTCTGCTTTTAACGAATCTTCAACAGACCGGCAAAAGTGCGGTTCTTTCCTGAAAACAATCTCCCTGGATAACGATCCAGCTTCACCTGCTTGGGTTTATTAACCCCAGATCATCGCTAACTCAGCCCGGGGTTTGCCGAGGTCAAGCTTGTGACATTAAGGCGTGCTGCTGCAACGGCAGGTGCAGGGTCGCCAGCAGCACCATCGGCTGCAGTTCTTTCATCGCTATTTCGTTTTAATAAATTCTTAGACCTTTTAAGCCAATTTTTTATGTCCATTTTGTAATTCAAACATAAATGGGAGTCTACAGAATGCACAATAAACAAATCCAGAATAGGCGGCAGAGTGTGACGCTGTGATTGGTCTAAATGGGGACGAATCACAAATCACAACAGACACATGCATTTATTTGACGTAGCCTGGCGCCTGCGATTTTTTTTTAGTTCTGACATCACATACATCGTAGCATAAAAGTTCAGTTTATTTATAATTAAAAAAATAAAATAAATATATTTTTTAATTTGTATAAATAATAAAAAAACGTGTTTATTCGGGGAGGGCAGGAATGTCAAATGGGAGGGCCTGGCCCTCCCTGGCCCTCCCACGGCGCCGGGCATGGCAGGACATGAATTAAAATGTCAAACTCGGACTTCATTTTAAGGACATTACGGCCAGGGGTGTAGTCGAGCTATATTTGTTTAAGCACCGGATTGGCAAAACAGGAGAGTGTGTGCACCAGTCTGCCTTGATCTATGAATTAATGTCCGTGACTCTCACAGTATCTGCTGCCCGCAGCTGTTTTATAGAAGGAACACCTCCTTCACTTCATGAAATCTCTGCAGCGCCAGGAGGCAGCGGGAGGGTTAACTCAGCCTCTGAGAAGACGAGCACGCAGTGCCTTTCACGCACCGCCTTCACTGTGTTTACCTTCAGAAATAATCATTAGTAAGGCTCAAGAAAGAGCGACCGCAGGCTGATGTGTTTTAACCACACACACGCGATTTAAACGCAGACTTGTGTTCCTCCATGTTTCGCTGTTATTGTTTCACTGAGCGGACCCGTGATTTTTTTTCAAACGCTTTTTTGGTCCATCTGCGGCAGTAATAGGTTTTGTGGGCTGTGATGATTCGGCTGTACCTTTAGTAATGAATATTAAATGTTGTGAGGAAATCTTTCCTCCAATAATTCCAATAAGTAATCCAAAATGTATTCACTTCAGGTTTACGAAAGTAACTGTAATCAGATTACTCGTTTTTCAAATGTAACGTGAGCTGAATACAGTTACTTGATTTTTGTATTCTGATTACGTAACGCCGTTACATGTATTCCGTTACAACCCAACCCTGTCGACGTCGTACATCATCACGGTGTCATCAAGGGTGTCGTACCCCACCAGTGTCTGTGGGGCCTGGAGGGCGGTTTTGACAACCTTTTGCATGACTAGCTTAACAACAGTGACTAGGCACACTATCAGGATTAGTACAGCTAAGATAAACAGTGAAATGGTAACGGCAAGTTTACCCAATCCCGCTCCCCATGACCCAAATATTCCAGATAAATCCCCAAATGCAAACCCATGAGTTTCGTGCAATT